AAGATGGTGAGGGTGGTAAACAACTATCGGACGGTATCACCGGACAACTGAGAGAATTTGATCAAGAGAATATCTCTTACAATGCCGAAGGATTGCTCCGAGATTGGGTGTTCCAAGCAGGGTGGTTTTCACCAGTGAATGATTCAAGCAGTGCGGCTTTTACCCACCTAGGGGAGATCGGAAAGCGAAAAAGCTTGATAAAAGGGTGCCGCTCGATTCCAGTCAGGGCCGGCACAGGGTCGTTTGTTCTTCGCCCAACTTTTACGCAAAAGCTACGACCCAGTTACACATTTCTCGATCGTATTGCCATCGGGAATGGATGATGCACGATCTGGCCAATGATTGGGAGAATGAAGCCCCTCAAAATTGCCCAAAGCCGAAGCAGCACGGAAAAAGGGTGCGGTAGTTGTTTGGTGATCTGCCAATGGCTTCCAGCGCAGCTTCATGGATTCGGGCGAGGCCTTTACAGCTCGAAAGCACTACCAGGAAACTGACGAAATGTACCGTGAACTTTAGCTAATTAGCCCAGCAGTGGTCAACAGGAAGAGGCCCATTCTGCTCCATGAGAGCGCTCAGTCACAACCTACCCTAAAAAATTAGAGCTAGGTTACGAAACCCCCTCCCATATTCAACAGACCTAGCCCCGCAGACTATCATTTCTTTCAACATCTGGGCAGCTTCTTTGAAAAGAAATGCTCTAGCTTTAAAAGCCAACGTGATGCTGCCGCGGTATTCACCGATTCATCTAGAGGCTATGAATCTCATTTCATCGCCTCTAGGTCTCCGAACTGTGAACGGAATAAACAAACTTGTTTCTCGCTGGCAGAAGAGTGTTGATAGTAATAATTCTTATTTTGAATAATAAGGCTCTACTTAAGCTGAGGTATGCGCATTTGAAATTTGAGGCCGAAAACCGCGAGAACTTTCTTTATGAACCAACTGAATGACTTATTGTTACGATACCGTACCTCTCGAAAGTCTCGTTGTTAAACAAAGTGTCCCTTGAGCAGCCTTCCGTAACATGTCCAGCTTGTAGTTTAACTGTTGAATGAATGCTCTTCACGTCACAAGCGGATTTCTTAAATGCATGTTTTTAAGCTCAAGGTATTACATGGACAACGCCATCTCAGCTGGACTAACAACAACCCACGTACCTGCGCGCAAATGTGAGCCTGTACATTCGGCAGCACAAGCTTTGGACCATTTCCTGCCATGTAGCTGAGTCTGGAAAGTGAAGATTTCTCAGGAGTACTATTTTAAGACAAACAGATGAATAGCAACCTGTCAGTGATGCCAGTATGACCTTGGACACAGGTCTCCTTCACATTTACCGTAACCAGCGCGCTCTTGCTTCGTCTCATTCCACAATCAATTGCCACTACCGTAAGAATGTAAGATTTCGCTGCAGTATAGTTGAGCGGCTTGGTATTCCGCAAAACTCCCTGGAAATTGAGAAAATGAAAGAAATTTCCCGTCGGAATGAATCTGCCTCTGGTTGGGTTTATCGATCTCATTGCGTGTTTGGGTCGCGTTTCGTAATGGAGACGTTCCATGAGAGATGCTGTGCAAAGCAGAACAAACCTGATTATTTATGGAAAATGGAAAGTCGTTAAGGCCGTTCGCGATTTCGAAATCGCAAATCTGTCCGTAGGGATTACCGCAATCAGCATCGGTCGCTTTCAATACGGCGATTTCTTCATGGATTTTCCCTGAATTGCTTGAATTTAGGGTTTCGTGGGAAAGAACGATCGCCCACTGGGCAAAGGGCATTCCATAGACTTTTCGTGCTTACCTTCGTCAACGGTGAACGTATACCATGGGCTATCGAATTCTGGTGAATGATTGTTCGTATCCTTCACGGAAACTTTTAGCACAACTCTGAAAGAAATTCTCTCCGTTACGAGGCCCAGGAAGATCGTTAAGGAGAAGCGCCATGTCGCAGTTGTCGGAACCAGAGCACGTCTAGCCGTTGTTTACAAAGCTCGGAAAATCCGGTTCACCCTCTCCCCAGTGAAAAATTCCAAAAGTCCGGCCCACTCCTCCTTCCCCCCGCCGCCCAAAATTCCTCCTATGGGAGACTGTGGCGACCACCGCTCATTTCTCTATCCCCCACCTTGGTGTCATTACTCGAGAGTACCGCCCATCCTCTCAAAATCGTGAATATTAAGCGATTAACCCCTTTAAGTAAATCTGAATCAGATAAATCTTATGTGTATCCGTAATGTTGCGTATGTTCATCCCTCTATCCCCTCTATTCAGGCAATTCTGCCAAGCAGGGCTGTTCAATGGCCAGAATTCATCTCAAAGCACGAAAATCCTCCACCCACATGGTTTTGTTTACATCTTTCGTTAATGAATACCCAATGCAAATAAATACGAAGGAAATGAGGGTCAGTTTGGATGGCAACGATAAAAAATAATCAATCAGCCAAAGCCCGATTCTATCTGGCATTCTCCTTGGATAGCCGAAATGTCTTTAGTTTCCGCTAGAGCGTCGTTGCAGAAGAAAGCCGGAGATAAATCAAGATTAAGCAGGATTGCCTCGTTGCCTAGAGCCAACAACCGTAATGAATAACTGCGTCATAAACCACGAGGCGAAGATGGTGTAATGTCGAGAGGCTTCGCTTAGCCCGAACACAGTCCAGCATCGAATCCTGCCAAACCCAAAAGGTCTTATGTTCCTCGGGTGCAATCCTATTGACTTACACCAAGGAAATTTGTGGGATGATAGAAGCCCCGGGTTCTCCACCGATTCAACCCCGCAACTCACGGGAGGGCTGATTATTCAACCGAAAATATGGCTCTGGAGGAAAGTGGGATGCGTGGCGCATCCCAAAAGCGATTAGCCAACGCCGGATGCTTTTTCCTTCCTTCTCTACCTCTGCATATCGACCGCATGACAACCAACGGGAGCGAAGACGCGAGACGTAACATTTCAGCCATACGGCCGCTGTGTAGAGGCATGGCGCGTACTTCATTTGCACATCAACAGCAAACTGCTTTTTCTAGTGGGTCATTTTTTGAACTGGGACCAAGATTTAATCGTCAGGCCTTTGCGTGTTCAAGATCAGGATTGATAACTGACAGGATGCCTGGAATGGAAATACCTACGGAAAACCCGCATCAGTACGCCACTCCCAAATGAAGTATCGCACCAGCCCACCGCCCCACGCTCAGGAAGTGGGAGTGTAAGTTAAAGGTGACTCATTAGTTTCACTTAGAGGGTTCACGGTAATCTCTCTCTGAGCCGCTATGAGAAATATGCGGTAAATAACCATGATATCTCCAGGACACAAACCTCGATTGCTTCCTGCCCTCTAATAGCTTCGCAGCCAAGGCGCGCTATGCCGATGAGGAAAATTGGTCTATCAGCTCAATCCACTTCTATCTGAGTGTCCCATTCCATCTACTTGCTTGACTTCCGATTCCCGTAAACGCAAGGCTACCGGCGCGAGGGTAAACTATACCAGAAACGCTAAGCGCTCTCCTCACCCCTTCGAATTAATGCCCATCTCTCTTCTTGGATCGAATACGAGCCCCTCTCCATCGACTCCAATACGACTTCCTCGTTTGGGATGCCCTCTTTCAAAAGACCACACAGCGTTATCGCTCCAACGTGATGCCCCCTCCCTCAATTCCTCCGTCTTTCTTGTCATCATTTGTCATATTCCCTCAGAACCCTGTTGGGCTTTTCTGTGAGTGTTGCGTCAATGCTATTCACCAACACTTCACATGCGATCCATTCACGTCTAGCACTTGCCGGGGCGGCTTTAATTGAACGTTTCGCTCGCCCTCGGGCGCTCAAAAAAAACACTCGTGACGAAGTTGCCACTTGGCTCCGCCTCTTCTCTCACTGCTTGTCAGCAGCACGAGAGTAGAGACGGTGTTTGACGGTGTTGTGTGAGCATGAACGTGTGGCAGGCATGCATGCACTAGCACACGCCAAGTTACCGTAATCTAATAGACGTAATCACGAGCGGCGAAGATTTGCGCGCTCATTTGAATTGCAATAAACAGATTAATTGCGCTTCACATAGGCGGCGACGATGTAGATTACTCAGTACGTACATGACTGCCTCACGAAGAGGAGACTAGCAGACACTGCAGGGTGACACAACCACCCACTAGGTCCAGACACAACTCGGCCCGATAACCCTTTCAATTTCGTTGCCAAGAACCGTTCTCCTCACATGTTAGACTACTCCTCTTTCTGCCCAGCTGGGGACGGGGCGTGGCGATGAAGGATAACACCTCTCGAAACGACCTTCTCCAAAGATGAGGCATCACCGACCGAAGAAGTACACTCATTTTCGCTGCAACGTGTCGCTGGACGATTGGACTTGCCGACCAGACATGCTCTCGCTACGAGGGCCCAGATATTTTCTCATCGCATCTATTGGGTCAGCAGTTGAAGGGAAAAGAAAAACAACAGGGAAGGGAGAAGGAAGTTGAGGGAGGCCTCGCCGTTGACAAATATCCTAAGACGCTGGAGAGTCTGGGTTGGGCGCAGCGACAGTCCGTTCTTCAGAATTGTTGAGGTGGGCAGGCGACTGTCATGGTGGGAAACGGGTGGGCGCCGCGCCAACCCAGCTCCCCGACACGCCAAAGCATCTGCACCGAAAACGCCTATAAAAAAGGGTTGGAAAAGAAGGGCAGAAAACAACTTTTTACCAGACCAAATACGATCCCTCGCAGAAGTACAGTGCGACTCCTACCTTCTATTGAGGAATCCCAGCACATACCAGGGGGGCAGCAAGTTAGGGCCAGGATGGGTCAAGAGTGCAGCCATTTCAAGAATAAGGTTCAAGCTTCATCCTTTTCGAGCACGGAATAAACTCACGGTTCGCTACGAATGGTCTCGTCTTCGCATCGCACAGCTACCACCTGCAGTTCATACTGATTCTTCCGACAATCCAGTGTGGTTGCATCCTGAAATAGGAGTGATCGATGTAGGGTAGGACCCATTGACTTCCAA